ATTCCGACCCGTTTTAGTGGTAAAAACAGGGAGTTGATTTTTCCCCCATTGACTTATAATGGGGAGGTCGCGAAATTGACCTGACCTTAGGTCACCGATATCAAAATTCCGAGATATACAAATTGTAGCTACTAATGACCTAATAATATCCTGCGACTTTCAAAGGCCTCCGACATCTACTGTAGCTGTGGCACGGTGACAAAGTTGCAAAAAAGTGACTTGAGGTTGGGTCATTCAAAGTGACCTGGTGACCTGACCTTAAAAGGTAGGAAGTTCAAACTTGCACACCATGTGTAAAATTGATGAGGTTATAGTCATACCAAATTTCGCGGCGCTACGCGCGCGGTTTTCCCGCTATTCGCGAAAAACCTCAGGGGGGCGGATATCCGCCCCCCCGTCGGTGCGCGGTTTAACGAAAAGAAGAGCGCCAGTTCTGTAGTAATTTTGCATGCTTCCAAACTGGCGGCCATGCTTGTATAGTGGTGATTCGCTCATGAAAATGAATCATGAAAATGAAATGTGGTTGCAATATTTTTCACCAAGTTCGGTCCTCAAACTATGTTTTTCTGATTCAGAAAAATAAGAAATGCTAGTAAAAAAAAATCAGCTCCATACATTGATTTTTTTTTCGATGATACTGTCCCTTTAAGTCAAATCAAGTCGCTATACGAGAAGATGAGGAAAAGTGGACGAATGCCACATTTTTGTGCATGAAGTCTGGAGTTAAAAAAGCTAAAAGTTATTATACGTGTAAGCTAAAAACAATAAGATCCGTTAACCCTCGCCGGACCTATTGGTTTTCTACATACGCGCCGGCCGAGGGAGGGGGGGGCGGGTACGACCCCCCCTCGCCGTTTCGCCCCTGGTGGAGCTAGCGCGTCGCGGAAAAAACGAGCGTGTGCGCCGTTACGAGACGCAGAGATTGGTACCCGATTTTAAGGTCCTAGGTCAACCGGTGACCTCTGAGGTCAGGTCAAGTGCCCCAAGGTACGGTTCAGTTTTTGGTAAATAACTTCGCAAAAAACGGCCGCAGAGCGCCGATTTTGGCAGCATCGTGTTCGTTTCGCTCAGGCGCGTCGAATGATATACTTTTTGCCCGGGTCAGGTCAACTTGGGGTGTTGACCTCAGGTCAAGGTCAGGTCAGCACCCCCAGGTCACGAAGTTGGTCGAAAGAGGTCATGTCGCATATCATTCGATTCGGCAGGTCTTCCTGAGTCCATTGGTGGCTTTCCCGAACCGCTAGCTCAATTTAATCAAGAGTTATTGACGAAAAACTAATATGACCTTGATGACGTCATAAATGACGTCACGCAAGGTCAACATTGCAAAAGTGACGCATCTTACCTTGCAAGGAGTGCATCAAATCACGATTCTGTGTGCTTGAGATAGTTGGAGATCGTTCCCGGCGCCAGAATAGCAGTTTTCATTTTTCCCCATTGACTTATAATGGTGAGGTCACGAAAATGACCTGACCTCATATGACCTTTAGGAAAAATCCGAGATATACAAATTGTGGGACTCATAATGGATACTAGATCCTGCAAGTTTCATTTCCCTGTGACATCTCCTCTGGCAGTGAGGGCGTTGCGAAGTTGCGACATCTGAAGACCGTGCAGAGGTTCACTTATGACGTCATAGGTCAGTGACCTGACCTGACCCAAAAATGCGGTTGGTGTCAAAAGATCCGGCTTGGATAAAAGGTCAGGTATGCCAAGTTTCAGCTCTCTATCGCCAGTGTGTTCGGAGCTATCGCGAAAAAACCCTATGGGGGGGGCGGCACCCGCCCCCCCCCCCTCGGCCGGCGAGGGTTAATAAAAATATTTGATACGAAATTAGCATCTGTTTTGTCTTATCATGATTGCGTGTAAGACAACAGTCCAACCGGGTGCAACCCGGTCCAACCTGGTTCGGCTCCCCCTTTTTTGGCCCGAACCTTTTGGAAGAAAGGAATCACGAAGATCAAGTCCAGTAGCGCCGGAAGTGGAACACCTTCAATTAAAGGGACCCTCCCATCTTAAAGGGACTATCCCACCTTCTAAAATGTTGTTAAAACCAGTTAAATTGTGCCCGACTTTATAGATTGGATGACCAGGAACACGGTTCTGGCATTTATTTTTCATTAAACATCTTAGGCTTCCCATATTCCAAACACAAAGTTTCAAATATGTGACGTCACAGCCCAAAGTTACATCCTTCCCCAGGCCACATTACTGTCATAAAGCTGATTCTTTTTACTCTGTAGGCACCACAACAAAGTTCAGACCAAGTTTTAAGCGACTTTTCAACGAACAAACCCATTTAAATCAGAATGACTAAACGAGGTGACGTCACACTAACGGTCGCTCCATGTTGAAGATAGGGCCTTGTACAAGGCCCATTTTCAAATGAAGGGAACGAATTTCTTTAACACCAAGAGGCCGCGGGGGTTGAAACCTAGATAGATAGTGGTTTCTGAACCTCGCCGCAAACTTGGCTATCTCAACTCAAACCCCATGTTAAAGGTGGGATAGTCCCTTTAACATTAGATTTGAGTTGAGATAGTCAAAATGGGGTCCCTGGCTCACAATTACCGGTTTTGGCACTCACAACACCGAGAAATGCCTTAAATCGGAAATATTGAGTTTCAAAATTGCAGCATTTTGATCCAGAGGGGCTAATGCATTTAAATACCCCTCTGAATGTGTGACGTCAGCGCAGATCTAACGATTTTCAAATGTTTGACTAAAACGTTTTGTAGCACGCGTTGATATATGCTGCTTTGCGCGCAACGAGTGCCGCACTTTCAGCTGCCAAACTATTGCTTCCAATTAAAGTCGCTAGGAACAGCGGAGATCCCAAAAAGTAAACAAAAGTAAAAGCCTAATATCTTGAAAACCGGTGAATATTTTTCGGTGAAATTTGGTAGATATTCGTTTTCGGTCTTTCTGAACCGAGCGACATCACTTTCATGCCAATTCATAATATTTTTTGAAGGTGAGAGGGTCCCTTTAAGGGGGGAGGCACTGCCGACTTTTGGTCCCATTCTTTCCATGCAACGCCCATAGGGCTAATTACGAGCGAGCGAGCGCAGCGAGCGAAGTGAGTCTTTTCAATATAACGGAAAAATCTCAGTATGAGCGGCCCGGCCCGGCCCGGCCCGGCCCGGCCTGTAACGCTTTTGAGAGGCTTATATCTCAGCAACCGCTGGACCGATTGGCCTGCGGTCTTTTTTGTTGGGTAGCCCCATCCCTTCTACCCCGTAATTGACTACTTTTGATACATCTCAGTGACCGTCGTGGCACGTGCCACGTGAAAAGTCAAGGGTGTTCAAGCTGTTTTGCAAAAGTAGTGATTTTGAGAGGCCCATATCTCAGCAGCGGCTTGAGCGATTGTCTTGCGGTCATTTTTATAGGGTAGCTGCATCCCTTCTACCAAAGGTCGGATACTCTTCATCTATGTGAGTGACCCCCACTGCACGTGCAAAATACAACAATAAGAGGTGCCAAATTAGTTCCCATTTCAGTAACTCGGTAATTACTGGGGCGATTTCGCTGAAACTTGGCATACAGGTAGGCACCCACCAGGCAATGCATTCCCATGTGTTGCGGTTAGGGTGCTACTGCACGTGCGCACGTGCAGGGGGCGTTTCCAGATCTCGAGAACGGCTGGGCCGATTGCGCTCAAATTTGGTACACGGTTGGGGACCAGTTAGTAGGGTGCCGTGCAAAAGTCATTTTGGACCCCGTTTGCACGTGCGCACGTGCAGAATGCCGCTTTCAGATCTCAGGAACGGCTGGGCCGATTGCGTTCAAATTTGGCACACCGCTAGCGACCAGTTAGAAGGGTGCTTTGCGCAAGCCCGTTGGAAGCACCCTCTCGCCCTTCCGCACGTGCAGGGCTCACTATCTCGCTCGCTCGTTCTTCGCCCAAAAGGCGTTTTACTGGTGTTAAAATTCCAAAATCAAAGGGTGGCACAGTGCCCCGATGCCCTCCCCGTTCCGCCGCCTATGACAAAGTCCCCGCTAAGCTGAGCTTGTTGCGTTGACCCTGCTCTCTACCGGTAGAGATTCGGAGGGTATACCCTCCGATCAAGCAATTCCTGGTCTATGGCAGAATTAAGAGTCCAAATTTTAACGTGCGCACATAGCCGCGCACGGCTGGTCCCCTCACTGACTTCGCCTGGCAGCGGCCTGCCACCAACCACAACTATACCCGTCAGGAGCCGCTCAAAAACGTCAAGCACACGTCGCGTTTCGAACCCGGACTTTTGCTACCGGGACGTGCGCTCTCACCACATGGCACATGGAGTCCAACGCTCTACCGACCGAGCTACCGGGGCGGACATTTACCTTGGGGTTTCGCCTCGTGACATTGACAGACGTCAGACACTTTGGCCGAACTTTAGCCGAAACACTGAGCAAGCTGCGCAGGGCGATAGGTGCTTGTAGCGTTGAGGTTGGGTAACCTGTGAGCTGAATACGATGTCGTAAGTTCGAGCCCCACTCCCGGGTCTGGTTTTATCTAGACACAAACCAAAACCTTTCCCTCTACTGCAACACAGATAAGCATGATGACATCTTTCCCCAATATCCTCTCCAAAAGTCAAAATTAATGCATATAAATGTTTAGCTAAGTTTCATTTTTAAGAAAATATTTTTGGTCATTTGTCTGGAGCCATTTCAACTCTTTTTTCTAATTCTTTTCGACCCGATAATTGATAAAACCCACCAAAACCGAACGTGCCAAATGAAAAATATCTAACTCAAATAACATTTTAGAAAAGCCTCATCTTGCATCATGAAAAGCATCATGCAACTATCGACTGAATAGTGGCATGCTATGAATACGTCCTAAGTAGATTTCAATTATCATTGTTCAACATTTTGGCTGGAACTGACGCTGCCTCTGGCTTGCCCGTTTGTTTGAGATAATGATTCCCTTCAGTCGCATTCGACTTGCCGGTTCCACATGAACAAGATACCACCATCCAAGCAGTAAATCCAAGCAGTAAAAAGTCAAAAAAGTAAATCAAAATATATTATTTTTTGATCATTTGCTCATGAACCATGGCATTACGAGAACACGATAAGTTCTTTTTTCCAGCGAGATTGTAGCTCATAGAATGATAAATGCATTTGTAATACATTTTATGAAACATTCTAAATGAATCCTAGCCTTGGATTTGTGCTTTGTTGTTAATTCTTGACACACAAATGGATTCCATGAAATATGCGAATAACCAGAAAATAGGCACTGAGGGAAGCGACTTTTGAACTAGCCGTACGTCCGAAATCAATGCATTTAAAACGTTTGACTACGTCAATTTGAGCACGGCTTCATTGATAGCAGCCCGTTTATGGATAACCTGTCGGAGGGCTGACATGTAGGCAGATGTATTCGTATACATTAATACCACTCAACCGTACGGCTCTGGGCTCGCATATCACTTCTATCAGTTAAGTCTTCTCACTCGAGAAACGAATATTCGATCGCATCGTGCTTGTATCACATTCGTCGTTATCGCTTCGTCCAAGCTCTCTGTCGACTTATCAGGTGTCAAGACATTTGCGCTCCCCATATCTGCAACACAGCTTTCTTTTCTCGCTTCGCCATCCATGCTTCTTGCCGTTGTGTTGCCTCCGATCCGCAGTGCCAAAGCTGATCCAAATAGACATCAATTAACTCTGAACCGGCGGCAGCTATGAACCGGATGCCCTGGATCGCCGCCTCCAGAGCAGCGCGCCGGCACAGATGGAGCTCAGCGCCGCCAGCACGCCCGCCGACGCGCCCACGGCCGTGCCCACCGCCACGCCCGGCTCAGACGTGGTGGCGTTAGCCGGCACCTCAGTGGTCCCATTGTCGGCCGGGGGGATACCCTCTCCGTCCCCCATCCTAGCCGTGCCGGCCGGGAGAGCCTGCTGCTTCGGAAGGTCACCAGATCGGTCACCTTTCCCGACCGTCTCCCGCCATCCATCGTCTGAACCACTCAACGGGTCGACGTTTGGTTGGGTCTGCTGTATTGTGATGTCCGGAGGCTTTTCGTCGCTCTTTCCGACCTCGGCCTCGGCCTTTGCGCGCTCGGCCTCAGCCTTTTCCGTCTCGGCTTTTGTTCGCTCAGCCTCCTCTTGCTGGGCTTCTTGCACAGATTCTGTGGGAACGGGGTTATCGACCGGGTCAGATAACAGAGCGCAACAGGTTTTGTCGCCCGTGTCGGCGATAGACCGTGAGTGGAGCAGTGGCATCGTATTGCCGTTAAAAGATAATAAAACATGCTGTACAATGAGTGCTGACTTCCCTGTACCAACTGAGTATTACTGGTACTTCAATATCAAATCGATACTTGTAAACTGCGAGGTAACAAACTGGACACTATGTGCACGTTCCAACCCCTCACGTTCTCACGTCCTAATATGTAAGGCCATTCCGTGTGAAACCGTGACACTTTGGATGTCAGTCATGTGCGCCCATCAAAGCTGGTCACGGTCCATCTCATTCAACTAACAGCAACTGCCGTTGTGACTTCTTCCACCAACCATAGACCATTTTTGTCAGGCACCTCATATATCGAGCGACGGAGCAACTTGATCTCCGGCTGTCACCCGGGATTCCAATACCCTACCTACTGAGCAACGGGACGGACAAAGCCTTTGTTTGATGTGTCCATTTGAAGCTCGGCACCTTCAATATAGCCCGCAAGCATGGTGAAAACAGACTCATATTGAAGTTGACAGCCGATTCATTAGGTATTCGCCGGGCGCATTGATGTGTTGGTGTAAATAACACGGGATCAATAGAGACGCCGAGAAGAGCTGAACGTGAAGCGAACTGAAGCAGGCTGGGTTTGCAGCGTTATCGTTGCCAGCAAACTCATTATTTTCAACACAGCCTTTTGTCTGGGTACCTAGGCTAGCAGGCTGACATTAGAGTCATGAATCAAGGTTGTTAAGGGCTGATATCCGAGATTTTAAAGATGTCTTCCAGGAAGAAAGTTTTGTCCCAGTTTTATATGTTTTCGAATGTAGCGCATAAGAGATCAGGCTCCTAAAATTGATCGGCAACCATGAAAGAGATGTTACAACTTTCAGCTCTGTTGCAATAAAAGAACATATTTCATTACAACACACATCACGCTACCAATTGCATCATATCGCGCTTTCGAAGTTCGTATTAGATTCACGTTTCTTCTGAAAACGTGGCAACTTATGTTGAAATGAATTCTTCCTATGTAATGCTACCTCTCCCTTATAAACATCAACCCGGCAATAACGTTCCACATATCCTTACACCTCTTGTCTGACGAAATCCGGGAGCCACGCAGTACATTTCTCCGTCCCGCTGCGCTTGCAAAGACATGACTGGTGGATACGGGTCTATGTATTCCTGACATTTACCCCAAGTCATGCTCTTTGGGTGAGGGTAACGCCCCCGTGAGGTACACATCAGGGTAACAATATACATAGCCGGGAGCACGTTCACAGTGCTACAAGATAAACGAGACAGGCGGCGGCGGGGTGGCGGTGGACAGAACACATATTGTCACGTGGCACTGCGGGCGCTCACTGAGGCCTGAGGGCCGGTGGTGCTCACGCCGTGCGGTAGGTGTCGCTACAGGCTACAGTTTGCGCCCGCGGGCAGAGAAAGGCTTTGCTGCGCGCCACTGTTAGTCGCGCGCATCAAATACATTTCTCCGTCCCGCTGCGCTTGCAAAGACATGACTGGTGGATACGGGTCTATGTATTCCTGACATTTACCCCAAGTCATGCTCTTTGGGTGAGGGTAACGCCCATCCACGGGAAGATAGAAAAACCGCGACAAAACTACTGTCAGCGGCTGTGCCGTTAGCGGAGTCAGGCGTGCAGGGCCGGGGTCACCAACCGGCCGCACTGACGCGCCGCCGGAGACGGGGAAGCAGTACAACGAGACGGCCGCACCGGGCCGTAAGAATAGGCACTAGATATAATCCCGACAAACGGGAAGGACTCGCCTGTAATTGAAAAGCGGCGCACCGCACTGTTGGTGCGCACCAGACGCAAAGGAATTCCGAAAGCACACAGAACACATATTGTCACGTGGCACTGCGGGCGCTCACTGAGGCCTGAGGGCCGGTGGTGCTCACGCCGTGCGGTAGGTGTCGCTACAGGCTACAGTTTGCGCCCGCGGGCAGAGAAAGGCTTTGCTGCGCGCCACTGTTAGTCGCGCGCATCAAATACATTTCCCGTCCCAGTCACTATACCACTAACACACCGCCCTCACATCACAATCTAGCACCTCGCTTCCCGTGTCTCTGCACAGCCACAGTTCCCCAGGTTCATCCCTGCCCGTATCTCGCCACCGCTCATTAGAAGCGGCCCTAATAGGGGCCTCTCGGCAGGGCTGGGAAAAATGCTGAATCTGCTACATACCAGATATTACGAGAAACTCTTATTAGCTACATTGCCACAAATCGGTTCCTCACATCATTTCTGCTAAAGAAAATGATGTTACAAGTCAATAGAAATTCTGGACAGAACTTTCCACTACCATTTTCTATCTTTTCTCAAAGTGAGCTTTAAATGTTTTGATTTAGTTGGCTGCACGCACAATAAAAGATACAGTGTCTTGCTTCTGCCCCCTGTGAATGTTCTTTTTCTTATTTCTTACTCATTGTAGGAAGCATCAAATACCAAAATAAGGTGCTGTGGGGTTTTCTCAGGGCAAGTTCCATCACCCCCGGAGCACCAGGAAGCTCCAGTGAGCCCAAGAATTTTCCTATCAGCATCCCAGCACCTTTAGGATTCAGAGGTATTAGCCTACTCAGGCAGAAAGTATTTGGAAGAAATCAGGTTGATTTGGCTAATCAGTCTGGTCAACAATTTACAATCATTGTGCATGCCGAACCGCTGTACAAATGTTGCCAGTTGTCACTTATCAAGGTTTAGAGGTAACATAATAATTGAACATTAAAGAAGTAAATAAAATATTCTTTTCTGAGCGTTACTTGATCAATATTTCAATCAGATCTCACCTGCGCAAATCCGATCATATCTCCCTATATCTTCACCTCTTGCTTTGCGTGCTGGGCGGCTACCTTGCTCTTTAACTGGGTACTGCACGCCGCTATACGGACAGTTGTCATTACGGCACTTGAAATTAGGCCTGGAACATCCCACTTCCCTAAACTAGAGGCAAAATGAAAGATACACTTGCCGAAATGATGCAAAAACACCCAGAAACACACTCATCAAAACCCATCAAACTACCCACGCGAAACGACAACTAGAATGGTCTCTAATGCGCCAGAACCAACGCATAAACCAAACACACAAACATAAATGATGCTTTTGTATATTTTTGTAAATGTTTCTTAATGTTACTTACAAAAGAAGGTTAATTGGTGCTTTGGAACTCTAATTCTATTTAGATATGTATAATTCAAAGAAAAAATACACAAGAAACTGACAAAAATATTGTATGACGTCATCAAAAAGAATTAAAGACGTTGCAGGATGCTGCTTCATAAAAGATGGCTTTTTAGAGCTGTCATAGGCAAAATGAGTTGATTCTTTTCGTATTTTTATTGCTCATTCAACAATTCCCTTTTTAAGACAATTTGTTTTGTTTCGTATATATGTTGCTGCAATATTTCACAAATAATAAAATTTATTTTAGCAATATTTATAAGAAATATAGCGCATAAAAAGGCGTAGCAGATACCTTTAGCTACACGACTCAGAGTATGAAGAATTAATGATTGCTACACTGGAAACTGCTACAAAGAGCGGCCAGATTCGTCATAAAATGGAGCACAAAGCTGACGTTTTGAACTTGTGTTGGCTTTACAGATGTTTTGTTCATATTCGCCGACGAGATCACTGACCGGTGGTACCTCTATTTCGAAAATGGGCGAATTTTGATGTTTTTATTGTATTTTTCTTTATGATCTACGGAAGAGAGAAATGCTGATTTTGCTACAATTGATGGAACAATAAACCGATATCTGCTACCTACTGGGGTATGAAAGTATGAGGGATTTCCCAGCCCTGCCTCTCGGCAACACTCACTGGTGCGGAATATGAAGGGCCGGGAAGAGACGAATCCGGCATCATTGACGAACATCAGCTGGACGGCGTATGTTGTGTTGGGCTGCAGGGGACCGTTACAGCGAGGGTCCTCCGACAGGACAGGAGTCGTAGAGGTGGAACAGGATGTGTTACCGCCCAACACAAACTCTGTGGGTTCGGTCGCGGCTGGGAAAGGAGAGTTGACATAAGGATGGCTTCATTTTGGCCTGAAATTGGTTATTGGCAAGAGACATTTTGACATAACGTTTCACAGCTGGAACAATGAACAGCCATGAGCCAAACTGAGTCCTTCTAAAGCCTTTGAAACATCTCATAATTTAACCCTATTAGTGGCAGGGGGGGGGGGGGTTGTTTTTATCCACCCCTCAGGTTTTTCGGGAATATCTCCGAAACCGCTGAAGCTACGATGCTGAAATTTTCTGACTTTTCCTAAAACTAAATTGGGCACATTCCCTGAAAATTTCAAGTTCATAACTTTACCAGGGGCGGCTCCAGAGCACTGGGAATTGGGGGGTCCTATTCGTGAAGCGAGTCATTTGGGCGAAGATCACGATGCTGCACCAGTTTTACGAACAGTGAATAAAAGGTATCATGTGATAACATATACAGTTATTGTGCATCCTCTTTTGACACGTTTTTGCTATAATAGGCGGACCCAGGCGTCCAAAAAGGGGGGTTATGTTTTACCTCCCAACATAGGTGCCCTGACACCGCCTATGCATTACCAATACAATTTTAGTCGTTCTCTCATAAGAAAATTATAACATAACAAGACCATTACCACCCTTTTTAGAAAGAGTACCAACAAAAACCTTATTTACTATACTTTTTGTGTACCCCCAATCTCAATGATCTGTATCCGCCTATGATTTTTGAAAATGCATATTTTTAGGATCCATGTGAATTCCTGGTTCATTCTCTATCGATCGGCAAAAGTTGCGTTAAGATTGGTTCAGAAACCTGGCCGTGATAAACAGTCTAAAATGTATCTGCAATTTGCCCGTTTTTACCCCCCTCTACCCCCCCTATTGACATTTTTTAATTTTTATTTTTTAGAAATGTAGATCACGTTGAGCGAAATCGAATGCCGTTTGAATTTTGAAAATCGGCCCGTTAGATCTCGAGATATCAAGGGGGGGGTCGTAAACAGCCCCCCCCCCCCCTGCCACTAATAGGGGGTAGCCAGGAGCCTGCCACTAATAGGGTTAAGTTGAGGGAAATACGATCATCATCCTATACTGACCGACATGAAATGCATTAGCTTAAGTCTTTCATTCCAAGACAAGCTAAAAGCCACGCAAATAATGATCGGTTATTTCACCGAGGCAGGCTATTTTCAAATCAATGGTCTAATTCTCTGCGACGCTATGCGTTCCGATGAGATCTCATCACCGATTGATGGAAACTCGAGGCACTCGCCACTTACCGCTATCTGGTATGAATGCGGGAGGCGACGCCAGGTAATGACTGGTCCGATTGAGCTCGAACTGTTGCCAGGTGGTCGCCTGGGGCAGCTGAGTGATGTTGCCAGACGGCGGTGGAAGGGGGCTGATGTCGCTAGTGGCGGCGCCGGGCTCGTAAACCACCACTCGAACTTCCCTGCGGGCGTGTCAGACTGTTGGTGATGATCTTACTACGTAATTTGAGGCTTCTAGGGATCCTGTAGAGTGTAGAGTGTAAATGGCTTGTATGGAAAATATGATATGCATGGTATTTATATTTTGCAGGTCGTTTAGAAATTTAGATCGATCGCAAATAGGTAGGCTAAAACGAGGGAGCTCGTTCCAGCCTAGACTGATAAACGTGGATTTCAGAATTAAAGATGGAGTACATGAAAAAATAATACATGTTTTTTTAGGATGCAGTAAACAACAACGAACAGGCTTCAGCAACAAGCGCCATGTGCCTCAGACGTTCTAACACATATGAGACCTTACATAAGATCTTTATGTCCTGACCTGAGAATTCCCGCCGCTGCGTCATACATGTGACTCGGCAGTCGCAGCAGGTACTGGCGGGACGGGTCCAGGTCCTCTCGCCAGCCGGACAGCGTCTCCAGCTGCTGCTGAACGCTCTCAGAAGGAGGCGACGGAACTGCGGACACCCACTGTACAGTTTTTTAATGCTTACACGGCACACCTAAACGACTACTGATGCAGTGCTGGCATATCATCCCAAATGGCTAACGTGTAATTAAAAAATGTTCGTTGTATTTCGACCTGCAATCCTCGAGGGATTTTTTATTTACAAGCTACTTGGATTTCTTTGATGCATCATGCATATTGCATTGCGTCAATTGTGTTTTCGGATGTCAACAATTGAGATTGAAATGAGAGGGCATGAAATGAGAGAATACCTGATGTAACATTAAATAGCAACGTTCCGTTTAATCTCTTTCACCCTTTTGCTAGAAATGTTTTATTTTTTAGTCTACCTTCACAAAAGAATTACGGCCACCCTCTGCTTTATTATTCACCAATTCGTGCTAATTGTCTCAGTTTCAATCAACAAAGCGCCGCGGCCTTTGCATGGAAAACCGGGGAGCTCCCCAAAAGCAGACCACATCGGGCTGGTGGTGTAATGAACTGCTGGAAGACAAACGATTCTCGGACAGCGGCACATTTCCACGAAATGGAGCCACTTGGCACATTCTCTCGCCGTGGCTGGTGTTCGTCTGCAGTCCCAATAGACTTCCCGACTGGTTTAACATCTCAGAGGTGGTAAACCAGCTAGAAAAGCCGAGACACACACACACACACCCCCACACACCCCACACACACACACACACACACACACACACACACACACACACACACACACACACACACACACACACACACCACACACACACACACACATACAGCCCGGGTTCAGTGGGGGAAAAACCAGGTGTCAGAGCCACACACCTCGAGCCGGAGACAGGCAGCGACTCTTCGCGGCAGGTCCGACATGCGGTGTGGAGTACACAGACTCTGCCGCTACCTCAATCACGTAGGTGATGTCGCCCTCCACGCCCGACCACGCGGCACGGCACCGGCTCTGGTCACACTGGCTGGCAACAGGCGTGTTTGTTTGGCGTCACATATCGTATCGGGCAACACTATTTCTGGAGGGTTTGTCACCTACCGATAAAGATATTACAGTTTTAGCCAGCCTGGATAATGAAATCGCCGTTTTCATTTTCTTCTGCAAGCTAATCAAAAAAGGAAAAAAAAACATTTTCAATGAAAAGCTAAAAAGAAAACACACATTTGTACGATTTTCTCCCAGTCCTAGGAAGTTCAGGTTGTAATAAATTATGTGCAGGCTTATTATTGTTAGGCGTCAGATAAAGCCAAAATCCAGTACTTACATTGTCCTGAAAACGACCACCTACCTCTCTCCCAGAGTTTCCTGGACGAACTTCTCCATCTGACCGGTATCTCTCGTACTCCGCTGGACATTCACATGATACGCCTTGGTGGGCACCTCCACAGGTCTCGGCACGTCCCAGGACAGGGTCAGCGTGTGACCCTCACAGCTGACCTTCAGGTCAGTGACCTTGGCCGTGTACTCTGGCGTCCGACACACCGCCAGGGCTGTTTCCCCGCGCTGCTGGAGATATTTCGACTCCGCCTGAACCGTCACCTGACACTCACTCCCGGGCATCACGGGTGCGTCAGTCGCTTCCCGCAGCTCGCACGTGCAGTTGAAGTAGTAGGTCCGCTCTCCCATGAAGTTGAACCGCTTCACCGGGTAGTTGCAGACGCGCTCGCAGGCGCCGCACTGGTCGGAGCGGGCCTGGGAGGAGGCGCAGGGACACTGGGTGTGGTGGCAGCTGTGCCAGAACTTGCTGACCACCTGGTGACCCGTCACAGGGTGATGGCACTGATACTGGCTCCGGTAACTGACGATGCCGAATGCGTTCTTGGTCGGGTTGGCCCAGCTGAACGAGAGGCCCAGCGGCTGGGACGAACAGTCGGCCTTCAGGTGACGAACCATCCCCGGAGCTGAAACGGGAGACAGCGACTAAAGCGCAGGATGCACTCGCATAAACTCAGCAAATTTGTAATATTTTTATTTTAGAATGCAGTGTTAGCACCAAAAATGAACAGGAAATGGACTCGGTCTTATCTCGTTAGCCGCCAGTTCTGAACCAGGGAAATATCATGCGTGGTAGTTTAATAATACATAGATAGCGTTATGATAATTACAATCATAACGCATAACGAAAAGGCTTGGAAAAAAATACCATGTGAGGCCTTAGAAGAGATCGGAGCTCGACTGGCAGCGGCTCTTTTCCAATATCCTGCGACGCCTAACTTTACATAGATCGGAGCTGGGAGTGAGGCACGTTCCGCCGTACACGGAAGTCATGCGGCACAGCATCATTCAGGCGCCCGCTTGGGACGCGAGCGTGCGGCACTGCGGTAGGCACGCAGGCAGATATCGAGTGCAAGACTGAGGTGGGAAGGTAGGAAAGGGATCGCGGGAGCGGGAGGGAGGGAGAGAGAGGGGAGGGAGGGAGAGAGAAGGACCAACTTGAAAAATAATATAACCAATACATCGATGATCCTAATTACCAGTTAGCCAGGGTTCCAGTTCCACTTCCCTAAAGTCCCAATCTATAGAAGACTGAAAGAAAATCCACTTAGTGCCTCGGTCAGGCCCTTGACGTCAGGGGCACGCTGCTTATCGATCATTTGATCAAACTGGGCGGAGTGAAGACCCAATAATGATCCTTGATTGGTCCTGACGAACGTGCTAAAAACAGCACGGACGGACCTTTCAGCAGCAGTGAAGTGCACTAACTCGACCCCTCCCCGCCACCCAGGACTTCCCCCCACCTCTCTAACACATCATTACGGACGCCTCCCGACAGGCTTGACATTTCGTGCCGCCTCCGGCTAGTGCGCTTTGTCGGCGCCACTCGAAGCCACCTCGGTTGGTGAGGAGTGTGCCACTGTGACACGTCTGCTCTGTCGTCGCCCTGTTATCCGCTCTGCAGCTCCTTCCTAATCACTACAGGCGTGCCGCGCGGCCGCGGGGCCGCTGGCTTTGCCGCGGGCGGTTAGCGACGGAGTTGGTTTGATCGGTCACGCCTGGCAGCGTGCAACAGTGGTCACCTGACCAAGCGGACTGACTGGACGAACGTATTTGACTGAACTAAGGAGCAAGAGAGAAAGAGAATAGAAATATAGGGTGAAAGAGAAAAGAAATAGTAAGAGAGAGAGAGAGAGAGAGAGAGAGAGAGAGAGAGAGAGAGAGAGAAAGAGAGAGTAAGAGAGAGAGAGAGAGGGGGGAGAGAGAGAGAAAGAGAGAGTAAGAGAGAGAGAGAGAGAGAGAGAGAGAGAGAGAGAGAGAGAGCGAGAGAGAGAGTGGAGAGAGACGTCCGTTGATCCACGGTTGCCGCTATAGCGTGCGTGACTTCGCGATAGTTGGCGGTCTTTATGGTGCTAGTTATGTCGTTGGCAGAGGCCGAATACGTGTGACTGTTATAAAAGTTTGGGAAACGGTCAAAGTTGGAACCTAATTGATTCCACTCAGAAGCTGATGGTCATAAAAATATGATTATTATTTTATTGGTATCTTTCATTTTACCTTCATGGGATCTTTATAACATTTCCAAGCTTCGCTGTTCGGTGACTCTCAATTGCGTTTATGTAGCTGCATGAAGAAGCTGTATTCGTGAAAGCATAAGTTGTATCCACCAAAGCCCAGTTATCTTTTCAAGCTCTCAACGAAATCGACTCCTGACGTGACCTGGCGTAAAGTGCAGCAAAAACCCAAACACAAACCATCGACATCTTCAGACTCCATATGCCTATACCACGTCACAACTCCAGCAACTCACGTGGTACGGTCATGGTAAAGTTGACGGGACCACTGGACGCCTGAGCCGTCCCCTCTTCATCAGCGATGTCGGTGTGCGCCACGATGCGGACCCGGTAGTTGAAGCCGGGCGTCCACTTGCCGTCAAATACAGAGAAGGTGATGTTGCGCTTCCCTGCACGGTGAACCACGAAATTAAGTTGTCTGCTTTTGTGATGATTGAAGTCTGACACGAAAAGAGCTGCCTTATCAGGAAGTCTGCCACACGACAAGTTTATTACATTGCTACCGGGAAAGCACACTGATTCAACTTGCTCGAGTAAAACTCCTGGAATTCGTTACGTAATGTAAAATCATATCAGCCTGGAGTTCGTACCAACTTACCTGAATAGAGCTGACGGATCTCGTCGGGTTTGAGCATGGCTGCCCGGACAGTCGACTGGTAGCCGGCCAAGAAGTCGACTCTCTCAAACTGCAGACGGTAGTCGTGCATGCCTGGATAGGGACACGGTGGGCGGAGGGATACGCTCACCGAAGTCTGTTCAGCATACCCGGGTATCCTCTTCACTTGTGGCGTCACAGTCACGTGACTTGGCGGCGGCGGCACTGGAGGCAGGGGATCGAAGAGATTATGTGGTTGCAGATCAATGGTGAGCTCAGCGTGAATGTCTCTGTCTGTCTGTCTGTCTGTCTGTCTGTCTGTCTGTCTGTCTCTGTGTGTGTCTCTCGCTCTTCTCCCTCCCCTCTCTCTTTCTCTCTCTCTCTCTCTCTCTCTCTCTCTCTCTCTCTCTCTCTCTCTCTCTCTCTCTCTCTCTCTCTCTCTCTCTCTCTCTCTCTCTCTCTTTCTCTCCCTTCTTATGCCTTCTCCGTCACAGAAGGCATAAGAAGTCTTTCTCATATTATTCTTCTCCGTCACTCTCTATTTTTGCTTCTTCCCTTACTCGTTTTCATAATCCAGTTATAAATCGTTTCAGCTAAAACATATGCAAGAGCACAAAAGAGCATCCCTCTAATCATTTTGCGACAATTTGCAAAATCTCGTTTCCACAGCTACTGCTCAGTAAGTTATCAGAAATGGCCGTTGTAAACAAGACGTCGTGTACTATTTCTAAGTCAATGCATGCTCTTAAAAATAAAAAAGATAATAAAAAAACTATATGCTTAAAACAACGTTGTTTGACTTTGCTGTGGTGTGCACTTGCTTTAAGATGTTAGAATTTTGTTCAATCGGTGAGCCATTCCCGAAAGACTCCGCCGTCAAGTTCCTCAATACACCATTCAATTCATTGAGATCGCAGTGTACCGATCGAGGCAACTGGATTTTCACCCCGGCGGCAGTGCCTCACCACGGTTAAAGGTTAATAACGCCGACTTGACGTGCCGCCTCTTCAGCCATGATGATTGAGCGCATCCTAAGCCGACGGCCCAAATTACCGCGGCAAGCCTCTGATCTTCATTACTGCGGCGAATGTCACGCAGCCGGGCCCAGAGCTTCAGAAGCTCAAAGCCGGGACACGTCAGCGCTTAGCGATCACGCAACTACATACGTTCCAAATAATACGGGCAAAGGCGGGTATTGCATTCCTTTGAAGTTTATTTGCTATCTCATATTCTTAATAACTAATCGTCACTCAAGATTGTTTGAATAATTGTTTCTGTCTAAAAGTGTTGCTTTTAAGCTGCGCATCTTATTATCAAATAGTTACGGAGCGAGCGAAGCGAGCGGAGTCTTACGTAGAATAACGGAAATTTCTGAGTATGAGCGGCCGGCCGGCCGGCCGGCCGTGGTCACGATTCTGCGACGCTTATATCTCAGCAACCACTTGACCGATTTACATGTGGTAATTTTTGTAGGGTAGCTTCATTCCTTCTACCAAGTATTGGATGATTCTCGATGCATGTGGGTGACCCCTTATGCACGTGCCAGTTGCCACGTGCAAAACGAAGAGGTGTCACTTTTGTAATAGTTGCAATATCTCGGTAACTACTGGGCCGATTGCGCTGAAAGTTGGCATGTAGGTAGGCACCCACTAGGCAATGCATATCCATGTGCCAGAGTTGGGGTGCTGCCGCACGTGCGCACGTGCAGGAGTCGTTTCCAGATCTCGAGAACGGCTGGACCGATTGCGCTCAAATTTGGAACACGGTTAGGGACCAGTTAGTAGGGTGCCGTGCACAAGTCAGTTGGGACCCATTTTGCACGTGCGCACGTGCAGGGTGCCGCTTCCAGATCTCGAGAACGGCTGGGCCGATTGTGCTCAAATTTGGCATATCGCTAGAGATTGGTTAGTAGGGTGCCGTGCACAAGTCAGTTGGAGGTACCCCCTCGAAATTTTGCACGTGCAAGGCCCACCCTCTCGCTCGCTCCGTTAGTCGCCCCAAAAGGCGTTATACTGGTATGTAGATGCATACATACAAGCATGCGTACCTAAACGTACATGCCTGTCTACAACATATACCTATGCATAATATAGACATTACACACAAAGCACATGTCCTAGCAGATAACATAAGATCAGAATTATGTTTTTGGTGCTGACATACTGCATTGATGGCAAAGTTTTGGAGGTTCGAAGGCACTGATTAGGCGTCACCAAACGTAAATTTTGTTCTACATGTTTGCACTTCACGATTAAGTATAGTGTAACGCTTCGCTAATAACATGTCTGGCTACTTGGATTAGTTTCAAGGCAACTTTGCCAAGTTAAACTTCTTACACCAATGGTGATCGAGTCTTGGCAAGCTTGCACTCTCTGTAATGATCGGATGACCTTACACCTTTCGAACTCAAATTAGGACACATCACGCCGAAGTGGAAAACGATATTGGTAAAATCCCATTAGCAGTATTCTCGGAAAATGTTCTACCTAAGCTTCTCACGTGCAGCATGATACCAATGCCACCACTGTGTAAGTACAATGAATCTTACATCCTGGCTGCGCTAGACGTTCATGAATTAGCAAGTAAGCGCCCGACAGTCGGATCAATACCTGCACTGCTGTGCAGACGACTGTTTCCAATTCCGTCGCCTCCCTGACGGAGACCGTTTCAGGGCAGACTCCGCCTCATTAGCCGTAAGCCATCTGTAATGCGCGCCCAGCCGACACGTCTGAACGTGACTGAGAAGTGAGAAGCCGTGACCCCCGCGGCGGCACCGGTTGACCTCTGAACCCTGCACTGTGGAGGTCACCCGAGTGGTCACAGCTAAAGGTCCCATCACCTAATGGCTGCTGCGTCCTGTTGGTGGTCCCAGGACTCTGGGAGCCGGATCCTCATCCATCTGTATGAGGATCCATTTGAGAGACTTTCGTCAGATGCGCGGCAAAGGAAGGGCGTAAGCAAAGTCTGCACCAGAAAGTAAGGTAGTGGTCAGCTGTCAATGTGTGTTTGGAATTTCAGAAGCTCTGATTATTTCGTGACATTATCGTCAAATTCAAAAAGGGTCTATCATTTACTAAATCTAGCGAAAGAATTAGATGCAATCACCTATCGAACGGTGTTCAATGGTCATATGGACTTCAAGGAATGAGCTTGTTCTATGTTTTCTTTTCTATCCCGGTGCATCTCGGGAAGCCGCCAACTACACAATGCTGCAGAATAGTCGGAAATTCGACGTACAGCTTTTACGACGAAGCTGAGAGTATTAATTTTTATTCTATTGAGGTTAATCTACCTGGGACATCTTCAAGCAAAGTCACAACATAGAATGAGTCTGTGCTCGAAATGGATTTTTCTTTTTTCAAACAACACCTATTGTGCGTTGAAGCCTCCTGCTTTCGAGCTTGATGCGAGATTTTACAGCCAACAAAGTGTTCTCTAAAACTTTCACGAAGACAACAAATGCCATATAATCCGAGGAGCAAAGAGCAGAAGCAAGAAGTTAAACCGCAAAAAACAACGGATGTTTCCACAACTGTTTCAGAAGTGCTGCCTTAGCAATTGCTGACCTGCTAGTAAGGCACGCTATGGGTTTTAAGTAATCTACAAAAATAGAAGATGAAAACACACAGAATAAAGAGAGTCAAAACACATAAAAGTGCAACTGCTCTTGGATTTCTAAAATTACTGTCTTCATTTCGAACAACGATAAATATTTTATTTGTTATTAGTTAGTCATAGTCATTAATTAGAAAGGTGCTTAAATTGTAAAGCAAATACCTACAATTATTTCATGAAAAGCTTTCAATTGAAACATTCTGTACCAAAACTATAAAATTAAAGCTCGCGATCAATAACTGAACCTATTCTTTTCTTATCCACCTAGTCCTTGAATTCATCCGCGATGTTTCCGGTTTCCCGCTCCTTCGAGCTCAGTTAAATGTCTTCTTTTCAATTCTCACCTCCCACTCGAGTGTCGCCGTTTCAGTTCTCACCTCCCACTCGAGTGTCGCCGTTTCAGTTCTCACCTCCCACTCGAGTGTCGCCGTTTCAGTTCTCACCTCCCACTCGAGTGTCGGCTAAGACGGGCCGACAGAACGGTCCCTGGCCCACGGCCGTGGCGGCCGCCACAGTCACGTGGTACCGTCGCGCTGCCTGCAGGCCTGCCACCGTGAAGGTCACGTGGTCGATGTCTTTACCCTCCAGAGGTAGCTCGAACCAACGGTCGACACACAGAGGGTCCGAAGTGCAGAGCGGAAACGTGCGAGGCTCGCATGTGACCGAGATGTTGTATCTGCAAAGTGGAGCTTGGACGTGACATGGTTCTCCATATTGTACTGTGATTTAGATGCGACGCGACGGTGGGAACTACGTGTTATTTAATTTTAACATTCAAAAGTTGTCCTTTGCTATGTATTTCACACTTGGTGAAGGCATCTTTTTATCTTTGTGCTCGTCGAATTGTGAACACGGCTAGCACACATAACATAACACACACGCGCAAACAATTTGTTTTTAACTTTTGTTACGCCACAATAACGAGCACACTCAGCACTGCCTCAGGCGACCTAACACAAAGAAAGGCAAGTAAACTCGCAAACAGGATTACATACAAACCGTCGGCACACAGAGGGCTTGTGCGTGAGTGTATTTTGCCCAACTGGGATTGCTAGTCGCGCCGGAGGCCGCGTCGACGGTCGAAGAGCTGGCGAATCTTTCCCAACGGGCAAAAACTCCGCTCCCTGCCTCAGAGTGGTCACCATTTGGGGAAACTGGCATCATGCCGGAAATGGACAGGCCGCCCCCGGCTTAAAATGAGTCCCTAGCGAGCTGCGCTGCGGATAAGAGCTGAGTGCTGGCAGTGATCCTGTGAGGTGCTAGTGGTTTGGTATGTAAGAGGAGAGGAGGAGTAGGTGTCAGGATGAGAGTTTGGCTAAGAGAAGCTGGCAATGATCGCTGGCTGCGCATTTCGTGCAACAAATGAATGTTTGTAGGACTACAAGGCAAACACTATACAATACATTGTATAATTGGCAGAAGCGGGAAAGTCGGCGACAGAATGAATTATGAAAACTGAATGCGCCTTGTTAGAGTGTCACACGTCGGAGCGTCTATATGGTCTTGGAATGCCTGAGAGATTTAAAAAAGAAAACTTTTTTGAATAATTTAGAAACTTAGACACCTCCCTCCCAAAAAAAATCCCAGATTCATTTAACCAGGCTAATGTACCTTATGGAGGACATCGCAAACAATGGTGAAAACCATTCATTATTTGCTGCCTTCGTGTTCAGTGCAGGGCTCGGGTGTGGACCATCCATTATTACTCGTCTTTCACCCGATAGCCGGGACGTGGTTGGCTGCGGGCTTTGTGGGCCATCCAATCAATATCGCAAAGTGTCCCGACCAGACACATCCACCAAATGTGACAACAAATTATTATCAGTCACAACATTGACTCTGATAATTACGAGCTATGAATAGTTCCGCTAATGCAGAACTATGTATGATGGCCGTCCACCCGCCGCGCTGTTGCTGCAGAATAAAAGACCAAAGTCGTTTTGACTATTCTTTTGAAGACTCATTTCGACTATCCTTTTGATGCGATGATGAATTATCAACCCTGTATAAAGAGCAGTCAATGCGGCTAACAAAACTCAGCCGTCGTAGTCTGCGCACAGACACTGGTCTCGGTAATGACTCGGAAGACCACTCACCTGATAATGACTCCGTTGGGCTGCTGTGGCCGGTGCCACTCCAGCGTCAGGCTGGTATGACCCGTGTGAGTGACATTCAAGCCGTGTGGCTTTCCAGGTGCTGCAAATGGAATGCGGTGACCCATTTATTTCTGCACTTGGATAAACTGTTACAAAGTGCACTATTATGATCGCATTGAACGTAACTGAATTAGAATACTTATTTACTAAGAAATTACCATCACGAAGACTAACTGATGCAAGAAGTCATCCTTTTAAGACGATTAGGTATTTTTATATCTCGATATATCCCTCATATTGAAATAAACGGAGGTCCCTCTGTCACTAAGCAAGCAAAAAAATGTAGCCATGAAAGGTGCTTAAGTCCCAGGGCACCATGAGCAATGCTTCACAAAAATCTCACCTGTCTCGTTCGTTGTCAGGTTGACAAAACGGATGTCTCCACAGGGTGGCTTTATCAGAGCTGTGTCTGCAGGTGCCGTGTCCATCAGACTGGCCAGAGCACACACTCCGCACCGGTAGCTGCGCAGAGTCATCGGGAAAGGCGGGTTTGGTTTTGATGAAAAGAACAATGGGTATTTAAATGTTTGTCTAACTTTTTGTTATAAATAATGCTTTTAAACATGCTCTTTTCATGGAAACTACCAATATTAACGTATATTCGTAGCTTTAACCTTCTCAAAATATAACGACAGCTACCTTCATTCAGATCCCACGCTTGTTCCAGCGAATTAGCTTTCCAGCCTTGCGGTACAGCATGCATTCAGGCGCACGTCACTAGTGGCATCTAGGGAGAACTTTATAAGTACACTGCCTCTCGTACGGTCTAATGCTCCAAAGAGTAATTGTTGGGCTGGGTAATGTGAGACTTAATCACCAAGCCATGTCGACATAACGAATATAAATCATGTAAGTGCATGACTGGAATATCATTTTGCGTTGCAGATCTGAGGACAGGGTGTAAATGAATGATATACAAAAATGCACAGAACATAGTAATTATTTAGGGAAGCCTAGGTTATTGAGAATGTCTGTATGTACAGTCTGTCTTAAAAGTACCGCGCAAATTGGCGGTGGATCCATCGAGCCTGACTGAGGAAGGGCCTGCTAAATTTGGGTCACCGAAGCAATGGACATCCTCGTCCATTCCCCAGCTCAATTGGTTCGGTGACTTTCAAATTAAAGCAGACCTTTCTCGGTCAGGCTTGATGGATCCACCGCCAATTTGCGCGGTACTTTTAAGACAGACTGTACATGTAAGACATATTGAACGGCTTATTCAAGGTTCCTTACTATTTCCCTTTTTCTTACCCTGACGAGTGACGATTATTGATTGAAAGAAATAAGGATGTAGTGATCAAGGTTCATTTAGCCAAAATCCTGAAAGTTCAAATAATGTCCAGTTTCCACAAAATGAAGATGGACAGTCTGAGATTAATTAGATGCTAGCAGGGTTCGAAGTTAATAAGATGGTAGCAGGACGTGCATCGGCTAAACTTGGATGAAACGCCCGCGCTCATTGTTTAGCGGTTTCATCGCAACCCACTTTGTGTATCAAAGTGCAGCGCTTTTAGTAAACGTAATTACCTGCCTTATCATTGTGAGACCCGTGCCATGCTATTAACTCATTGCCCCCGGCGTTATCTGAAAAGATAGCATTATCTTTATCAGATTAGCCTGCACTACCCCGAACACCAATTGGCACTTAGCGAAATTTACTGGAGCAGAAGCCATGACCCCCGGCTGGGATCAGCCCAGTCTCCCCTCCCCTCTCCCGGCAGCCAGGTGGCTGTGCAGTATGTGCACTGTGCCGATCCCCTGCAGTACGCTGTGCGGTCTGTGCTTTGTGCCGATCCCCTGTAGTGTGCTGTGCAGTCTACACTCACCCGACCCCCGGGATCAGTCCAGTGACGTTCAGGGCTCTGTCAGGTGACGTCACAGACACAGCCGGCACGCTCGCGGTCGCCCGCGCCTGACAGGTGACCCGATACTTGGCCTGGACGCACGGACTGGACTCTCCGGCCGCGTGGCTCCACTCCAGGATGACCCAGGTGGGGGCCGTGTCTAGGACGAGAACGGCGTCCGGGGCTGTGTGGACAGTGACAGGACACAGTATCAGTACGGTGTTTACCTTCCATTAGCCGTGCCCAATGCCCAGACGGCCCAAGACGGATGCAAAGGATGACGCTGGCGGCTCAGCGGGTAGGCATGGCGGGATTATACACTTGGTAACTCATGGGAAGGGCTTATGTGTGCAAGGAAATGCCACCTTGAATAATCGTATGCATTAGCAAGCATGGAGGTCCATTGTCCAATGCTTTACTGAAATAACGTAACAACCCAACAGATACGCTTACAACTCAGCAACCCAGCGCGGGCACTGGGTAGTTAGCTACGCTCCCTTGCGAGCGATAACTGATATTGATTGATACTATTTGCGGCACATGGCGTCGCACGCAAACTGGGTAAACACCCACTGATACAGGGCCAGTGCTCATCTCTTCAATCGGGCATTGATCCGAGCTCGTGTCCTGATAACGATCAGACCATTCGCAACAAAACGCAGCACAGTATACCGGCCCGGAGACTCGGAGCTCCAAGATAGCTGCCGCGCAACAGCAGCAACAGTGTGTTGCTAGTATTCACGATGCACCGGTCTAGATTGTGTTTCTAGAGAATATCCAATAGTAGGAGCACTCAGAGCTCACTGAATTTTGACAATAGACCGAAGCACCCTAGGGCGTCCAGTGTCCACTTGTTTCAACTGAGCGCAAGTTGATCAAGTTGTATATGTGGAAATTAAGCCTAGAACTGTTTACAGGCTGCGTCAGCGAAGAGATAGCTGGCTGGAATTGAGTTTTGCTGTGGGAGAGAGGGAGAGAGAGAGAGAGAGAGAGAGAGAGAGAGAGAGAGAGAGAGAGAGAGAGAGAGAGAGAGAGAGCGAGAGAGAGAGAGAGAGAGAGAGAGAGAGAGAGAGAGAGAGAGAGAGAGAGAGAGAGAGAGAGAGAGAGAGATGGAGCGACGATGAAGGGAGAAAAAGAGAGAAAGGAGCATCATATCTCACCTGTGGGGCCAGTAACGCCGTGAAGAGACCCACGAGCATTGCTAGTGCGTCCCAGCAGAGTCGCCCTCACTGATGCGTCAAAATGCTGGCAGTAACTTTCCAGATCGGCCTTGAGCTCGCTGACCCCGGGCTTCAGGGTGACCTTTCCGTGACCTCTGATGGTGATCACGTGATAGGGCTGACAGGGGCCGAGCTCGGTGGTGTTTTTTCTCTCCCAGGTTAGTGTCACCACCGAACCGCTGACCTCAGAGATGAAGAAGGAGTCGGGTGGAGAGGGATCTGAAAGAAGACGTTTCGGAGTTATCTGTGATTTTTTATAAGAAGCTGTATGTTTTACGCGTTCCATAATATAAATGAAAGCATTTGCTCCTTCATGAATAGCATTTGCTTTTATTTCCTTTGTTTTTCTTTTTCATACCGTTTTCTGTTTCGGTCTTTTTAATTCATCTCTTACAGCTCCAATAACACATGCACCTTTCTGGCCGCTTTTCTCAGCAGTGACATCTAATTAACGTCTTGTAAAAAAGCATTACCTTCCGGAGCCGGCGTCTGCCATTGGACGACATCAGGAGCAGCGTCTTCTCCCTTCAGTATGGCGCCCACTTGGATATACACCAGCGAGCACGGCGGCAAATTCAGCTAAAACCAGACCACATGAATACCTGACACGGTTGACATGCGGCTGTTTTATGGTTAGATATGATACATCTTTGACACTGCTCATATTAATTTGAATGTTGTTGTTAATCACAGCATACATGAAACCAGGGGCGGATCCAGCATTTTGCCAAGGGAGGGGCTATTCCGAATCGGGGGCCCCCCATCGATGGGGGCCCTACCTACCCCCAAAAGTTTAAGCCTGGATTTCGTCCACTTTATTTTTGGGGGCCCCCTATCATGCTTTTTTTGCAAAAAAAAAGAAAATGAGAAAGTCGCCCGGGGGGCGCTTTAGTCCCTATCGCCCCCCTGGATCCGCCCCTGCTAGGAGGCCTTGTATGTGAACTAGGAAGCCCTCTGTGATAGCTAGGAGGCCCTCTGTGCAGATGCGAGCGCAGGCCCTCAGTACAGACTTGGAGACCCTTTGTGTGGATGCGAGTGGAGGCCCTCTTTGGAGATTAAGAGGTCCTGTGTTGGCGAAGAGGATATCTGTGCAGGCTTGGAGTCCCTCTGTGCAGGATAGGAGACCTTCTGTGTGAGTTAGGAGGCCCTCTGTGTTGGCTAGGAGGCCCTTTGTTCGGATGCGAGTGGAGGCCTCTGTGTAGGCTAAGAGATTTTGTGTTTGTTAGGACATCTGTGCAGGCTTGGAGGCCCTCTGTGCAGGTTAGGAGGCCCTGTAAAAGTGGTCATCTCTGTGAGTATAAGAGACCTCCAAGTTATGAAAAGCTTTACCAATCTTCTAACAAAGAAGTCTTCTCAGCTAGTCTTCTAAGAAATAACTAAGTGGGTAGGTTAAAAAAAAAAAACTCATCGGATTTCGGCCACTTTATTTTCAGGAGGCCCCCTTTTCAGCTTTTTAACTTTTTATTTTATTTTTGAAAAAAATCGGCCAAGGGGGGGGCCATGGCCCCCATGGCCCCCCCCCTTGTATCCGCGCCTGCATGAAACAGTAGGTAAAACTACGAAAGTATGACTTATGAGGCAATTTTCACAATAGCCGTTTTCACGACAGCCATCTCTGGTACACATTTGGTGCACATCTGGTGCAGATTAGGTGCAGATTTGGTCAAATTAGGTTCAGTGTGTCTCTTAGTAGCTATCAGCTAGGGTTGCACTAATTGCTTATCTGCCTGCTTTGTCATATTATCAGAGAGCATCATCGATTAAAACACTAATAAATTATAAAAATAAAGATATTTGCTGTAAAAAAAGATTAGGTGCAGATTTGGTCAAATTAGGTGCACTCGCCGGATTGCCCGTCGTGAAAACGGCTATTATGTCCTTATACGTAGAACTGTTGAGAGAGATATTAGTAAAACAAGCTGCTAATGGCCCTTTTTCCAATCAACCAGCTCCAGCCCGAGAGAACAACCATCCCCGTCTAAAAAAAATCCTTTTGACCGTTGGCGTGATATGTACATTTTTTACTACTCGTAGCGACCCTCTGAGCAACGGAAGCCGAAAACCGCGCTTATCGCGTGGGACGGATTGCAGGCACTGACAGCTCAGAAGAAAGTTGTCAGAAGAATACACATTACACATAAGAGTTCAACCAAACAGATAACTTAACAACAGTTGGGCGTAGCATGACACATCTCCAGTTGGGTACTGATAGTTTCGATTCCGCCTCAAATACACGAGCGACCAGCTGCACTGCCATCAAAATGGCGGAAAGCGGCGCTGTGCACGTTGACAACCTATAGCACCTGCTGTCGATAGCATCGGACAGCATGCGATTGATGTTCTCTGATCTCACATCCGGAAATAGGGCTCAGTGGTGCAGCTCATTATCTGAACGGGTGGCAGAACGAGGTGACTGTCTTATCTGAACGAACCCAGGCGACTGAACGGACCTGCGTGAGGGTGAGTTGGGCTTGTTTCGTCTGATGGTCACATTGATCCGCCGCTGAGCGTGAACCAGTAATTGGAGGAGAGATACAGAGCTATTGAAACAGCGCTCCGGGGAACGAACTGCACGACTGGCACTTTGATCGCGTGAAGCAGCGATATGTGATTGACTGTTGCATGATTTAGTGTGAGACCATATTGAGCCGATTGACAAGGATATTTACTATTGAAAACTGTTCTGTGCTTCCTCAACTATGCTGGATACGGACAGATCCTGATCAGGCTAAACCTTCCATCTTTCTTTGAAAATTCAAGTCAAACTTTTCCACTGACCTCCATCTGGCAGATCTCGGTCGCCTGGTCACAGACGTCCTCAGCCTGCACCTGTGTCCTGATCGGTGTCCCCTTCTCGCCGTCAATGTGCTCACTGACGTAGAACTCTGCCGCGCGGCAGTGGGGCGGCTTCCAGGTCACTCGGACGGCCGTGCGACTACCGTTCACAGACTCGATGGACAGGTCTTGCACCAGCTGAAGGTACAGCACCATGTCGGCGTCGACGGCTGTTGGAGGAATGGCGAAAAGGGATATTGCATAGGTCAGGAGGCTGACTCAAATAAGGGGTGAACTAAGGGAGGAAGAGAGGATATCCCTGCAAATACATTTTCTAAAGAGACTGAGAAAGGTGTGCTAATTTTATAACACCACGCGGAACTGCTTATCAGTTCATCATGCACTAATCATGTTTTCCCTTTTTCATTAAAATTAAGAACAATCCACTCACCAAAACCGAGCGGTATCAACATCTGAATTTCATCGTCCGTAGTACTGAAGGGAAGCTCACACGCCACACTGTGCAGACTGATCGACTCGGGCTCATCTTTCAGCGCCCCGTGTCCCGCCAGCACTGCCCGCCGGTTCGTGAGCGGCTCCAAGTCGCCGTCGACGTCATCATGCTCGTCGAGCTCAACGTAGTCATCGTCAGCGTCCTTGTGGATGTGTACATGAGAGCCGTTGCGGGGCGCTAACTTCACCGGAACGTCGGACGTGAGCTCGATTGCCGTTGGTGAGCCGGGTGGCTGTGCCCAGACGGTGCGTGACCCGCTCTGCCAGTTGCAGGCTGCCATGGTGGCACAGCTGCGCATAGTTGAGTAGGCTGCACTGCCGGCAGGCGTCCAGCTGGCCGGAGACCTGCAGTCTTCTCTGTTGGGAACGGATAGCACGGAATATATAGTCTACGACATGGAATGGACAGGAGCTTCGATTAGCATTGCCACGTGTGTAACCAAAAATCAAGGATTTTGCCGGATGAATATCCGGAGATCCGGAGGATGCGGATGAATTTCTTTCCACGTGGGTGTACATTTTCATATATTTTCTTAACATTTCATACATTTTTTCTTAACAATCGTCGAATGATTCGTCTTCAACTTAAAGGCCCAAGTTGTGACTGTGACTTCGAAATGGTAACCGTATATTTTATTGGAAACTTTTAGCACACATTGTTACGGGAGCATTTATACATATTCATTGCATTAGAGTTTTAACATTGGTCTAAAATTAAATGAAATTCGATGAAATTCGTCTAAAATTTGATGAAGATGAGGAAGTGCGAGCATTCGCGCTCTACTTTCAGGGTCCCAGGACTATATATGGCCTTGGTCCCAGGGCGTATCGGTTCCTACAAAAACGGTACGTCCTTCCCCATCCTCGAACTCTGCGGAGGAAGATGGGAAAAATACAGATGCGAGCTGGCTTTCATGACGCTATCTTGGCTCTCATAAAAGAGAAGTTCGCCGGAGCAAGTGCCAAGGACAAGCTGTGCATCATTTCGTTCGACGAAATGCAGCTGAAACCAAGGTTGGCCTACCAGCGGGGTGATGACGTCATCGAGGGCTTCACTGATCATGGCTCTCTCTGCCGCGCCAATGCCTGCGCCGACCACGCCTTGTTCATGATGGTGCGGGACGTCAGTGTCACCAAACGCTGGAAACAGCCCATCGGTTTCTTTCTGAGTTCCGGAACGACCAAGGCCGTTGTGCAGCAGCAGCTGTTAACACAGTGTGTCCAACGTGTAACAACAACAGCGGGATTCACTGTGCTAGCTACAACTTGTGACATGTCAAAGAACAACCAGGCGACCTACAGACTGCTCGGAGCTGCGGAAACCGGCTTGTTCACCGTGGACGGGCACGAGGTTGCTGCTCTGTATGACGTGCCTCACATCTTCAAATGCATACGAAATGCATTAATGAAATACGATATTGAAGTAGACGGTGAAGTAGCCTCTTGGAGTCATTTAGAAACACTCTACGCACTGGAATGCGCTTCTTTCCCACGGGCTGCTCCAAAACTAAGCCAGAAACACATCAGGCCAAACAGCATTGAAAAATGAAAGTCAGCTATGCCCTACAGGTGATGAGCCGGACAGTAGCAGCAGCAATCACATTGCATGCGACCCACGGCAAGCTCCCGCGCACTGCACTCCCGACTGCTACTCTCCTGCTGCGCCTCAACGACCTGCTCGATGTGCTAAACTCTTCCGACCGGTTCGACCCCTGCTCAAAGCGACGCGCGATATCCAGCCTCCATCCAGCAACGGCGGGAGAACACCTGCAGTTTCTTCAGGAGAGCGACGCCTGGCTGCAGCGGTGGACGGTCGGTGGCGGCGCCAGCATCGACTCCATTCGAGGACTGCGACAAACGATAAAAGGCGTGGTGAAAATCTGGGACTTGTGTCAGGCTGCTGGGTGCACGTTCCTGTGCACTCGCCGCTTAAACCAAGATCCAAGCTACTGAAAATGAAAGTTTATCTCGGCAAAAATATATATTAGGCACATACACGGTGCCTGTGTACCTACTTATAATGAAGAAACATTATGACAACGTTTGAAACGTTTAACACAACCCCTCCTCTAAATGCATTTATGAAACGTGAGTGGGCCAATAAAGGCAACTAGTTTTAACTGTAACAAAAAAGCACTTCTGGGCACGTAAATGGGGTAAATGTGGTAAAATGTGGTAAAATCCACCACCCCATATCGCCTCTACCGGAAACCCGTTTTAACCCCCGAAGGACATTGGCAATTGAGCAGGATCGTTCATGTTTATCAAAACAGCCGGCAACTTTCTATCGCAGCGAAAGGTTGACTAGGACGAGAGTCATTGCTTTCACTGACTATGACAAACCTACTCGAACGGATTTTCACCTAGGAAGTTACCAAACGAATGTTGAAAAATACATCAGCACCATGAAAAAACCTTACCCACCATCCTCAGCAACGCCGCCTCCCGCCGGCGTCCACCGGAAAAGGGCGGCAAACGAGCGAAGTTTAAATGGTCAGAAGTGATTCCAGACAGCAACACCTGATTAGATAAAATGCACCTTCTCATATTGCCCCGGTACCCCGTTATGCCCCAGCTTCCCCTATTAGTTATAGGTCTGGCAACTATACTTTCATCCTCGTAAAGGAAGTAACCACAGCGAATCCGCACGACTAAATCATCAGGTCGCCAAAAACTCGGCAGTTACAGGAAATCTCGATCTTGTCCATTCCATGTCGTAGACTATATATTCCGTGCGGATAGGTACGAGTTTCGTTACAAGCCGGTATTGCATTTTTTAAATTAGGTATTGTTTTATGATTAAGAATTGATTCCAAATATTCAAAAGAACCTTCTTTCGCTAAAAAACACACATTTTTCTACATTCGCCGTTCGTCAGTGAACGTATATGTTGAATTATAAGCCACCTAGCAACGTAGGTTTTCTAGACACCAACTAATTCCATCTTTATAATTGAAAAGATAAGAATTGCGTACCTATTAAACTTCAACAGCACATACCTGCAGGCCAGATCTACCAGCGTGTTCTCTGTGAGCTCTGAAACCACTTGACGGCGCAGCTTACTCAGCACACTCAGTGTGCTAAGACTCGCAACCCGGGCCGGGGTAATGCGCAGGTCCATGGTCTTCAGTTGCTCCGACTTCAGGTACTGGCTGTCCATTGACGGGTCGGTGAAGCTCAGATGCATGCCCGACTCGCACTTGAAGTTGGAATCGTTGGTGCCAAACGCCAGGGAGTCGCGAATGACGCCGTAACAGGTTCGGTTGAAAAACTGGAAGCCGGCGGCCCGGGGACACGGCACTGAAATATTGGCACGCGTCATTTAATAGAGATTGCAACTTGTAGTGTTCGCTTTGCTTATCGCGGCGATCGGACCTATTAAGTCCTTTACTCATGCATCTGATCCTAAGCCTTAGGGTAATTTTACAATTGGCACCGTTCTTCCCCATGTAAATAAAAAGAAGTAATGTGTATGTACTAAGTTGTGTTTAGAAATAACTCGCTACGGTGCCTTTTTAAAGAGTTATCAAACCTTGAACAATAAAGACTACCATCGTTCTAAATTGAAGGCATATCCATAAGCCTTCAGTAAGAATTCATGCTACGACTCAATAATCAAGGCGCTTTCATTATACTTTCCCCTCTTCATCATTTCAGACATTCCGTATTATGATAAGCGACATTTAAAAAGATCTCACCGAATGCCTCTTCGCAATAGGTGTATTCGGCCTCCACGTACACCTGTAGAACAAAATATGGAAGTGGAGCACTTGCGATTACAACTGAAGAAAAACTCACGACATTTTCATGGATGAGAAATATCATCTCGCGTGCAGGAGCTTGAAACTGCTCGTCAAAACCCCTCATCTTTGACCTTAATAGTTTCGCATAGGTATGGTTACTGTACATATACATATTTCAATCACCAAATGCAATCGAGAAATCGAGAAGCCTGAATTTGCAAGTTGCTTTAGGGGTTTTGAAAATATGTCTTTTAATATAGTGTACCTACAATAAATAACCCCTATTTAGCCCTTATTTATTACGTTGTTCAAAGATCACGGCTTTTTGGAAAAGCAACACATATTGCAAACACATTATTTGCCATTTGTTGTCAGTACTTACCAAGGGAGATGCTAGTAAAGCCACAATGCTGCCAATAATGATCTTGTTTGCCATAATAATACGCTTATCGGCGATTGAGAAGTCTTTCATTGCTGATGCATTATCAATTAAACGTTTTTTATGACTGATTTTCCAGGTGATATATAAATAAAAATGTTATATATCTAGCAGCATTGTATGCACAATGCATATTAATTGGCAACAAAGAAATATCATGTACCTGCCAAACGTTTGACCATTACATACATTATCAATATCGGTGCATGGTGAATCGGCCATTGACCTCCCACGGCAACCTACTTTTTCGAACCCCAACAAGTTGAACACCACGACCCACTTTGTCGATATTCGCAGCATTTGTCGAAGAAATATCCCCTTGAAAAATGTTCAAGTCTCTCGAACTAAATTTTGTAAATGGTCCTCTTCTATGTGAATTTTAATGAATCCAACAGCCAAAGAAAAGAGAGCCTTGTTGCTGTTGGGTATCATCATCATCGCCAAGATACCAAGCGGTTAATATCCAAGTATCTGTTGATATTGCACTGCACCACGCCAATAACCATAAAGAACTAAGCGCCGATACCTAAATTTTATCAACATTTGCTCGACGTTTTCTTTTTGTAGCCACGATACCAATGATATGTACTTTTAGCCAGAGTTACTGCTGCTCAGTGATGTAAGTACATGACAGCTTCCGGAGAACGTGAACTGGATAATTGGAATTATAGAGGATATAAATTTCATTGACAGTGCTATAACTTTACCCGACAACTCGCATGCCTCTTTCACTGTGAGCAGAATTGCAAAGTTGTAACGTCCAATCGGACGGCTAACATGGTTTCAAGCTTATAATCTTAGCATCGGTGCCGGGCTGAGTTTGCCAACGCTCACTGCAGAAAATAATATCATATATTCACTGTCCAGGATGACAGGTCTGCCGATCGAAGAAGCATCAAACTGGGCAGAAGTACAGCGGACTGAAATAGGTACACTGTATTTTTGTAATCAACTCTAATGCTTGTACTCATACTGCTGATCTACAAGACGACAAATTTGCCGCCGGCTGTCTTTACCTCAAACGGTTTTAGATGATGACTTCGTTTCCCAAAGGCAATGGAAACTTTCATCGACATTCATGGCACTCAAATAGACAAATATTTTATCCACATTGGTTTTCGCCAGTTTGTGAATAATTTTGATCTCTAGTGAAACGGACAGTCTGCGGTTTAAGCTCGGAGGAAAAGTTCCATACAATTGATTCTGTTCTGAAATACGATCATGCATCTTGCAGAAATACCCCATCGGACACGAAACAATACAATGCATTGATGCAATGGAGTGTGCAGGGCAGTTTCATTCAACTGTTGGGTACATATATCGTTGGTGCTTGCTTTGGCTTCTTCCTTCTTTGTCTTTTGTCTTCATTTTTCTTCACCTCCAACCTTTATTAGAATGGCCATCAAGTTTGTTCTTAAAACGAAATTTCTGAACTTCCCATTACATTATTTGTCGCGTGACTGTCACTTTCGTGACATTTACGTGACGGCACGCGACAAACATGTCCTCAACAGCTGGGTGCAACTGTGCCTGAACTCAGCGGGAAAACACGGCACATATCGCGTGAAAATATATACGTAGCTGCAGGAACTGAGCCGATCTGAACGATCATTGCGCTGTATAGAAGAAATCTGTTTATCCCTTTTTGAGAAGTGTTGGCAAAGCTTGGCTATGACGCCGTGAAAACTGAAAACAAGAGTGAACTTCACCTCCAACCGTCTCATATTGATGCCACCTTTTAATTTGACCTTGATGACTTGCTTTTTTGCATCAAACCAAAATTCATCTGTTTTATGCTTATTGTTGCAATGATGATTACTTTTCCTTTTCCTTACGACATTTTTCGTTACCATCATCTGTTCCTGAAGCTTTCCGTTGCGTGTCCTTCAGATTTCAGCTGCGTCCAGTTGCGGCCGCACCGCCCACTGGGCTTCTGTTGTTGCTGCTGTGTATAATGGTGGCAGCGTGCCCGCGACGGCTAGCCACGCCATAACATTAGACCATTATGTTCACGGCCCGGCATTTGCGCTTCGTGTCGTGGTCTGCGGCTGCGGCTCCAGAAAAAACGTCAACAGTTCGCTGTAGCGTGCAGCGTCACAGTTCGCTCCACTCCACAAAAACAACTCGCCTCTTGTCCATTTATTGCGCTCAGGCTCAGATTCGATGCAAATATGTTGTCCTTCTTTTCGTTTCCTCCTTGGGAGCCGTTGACACCAGACAAGGTGACCCCTGGCGTCGGGAGAGATGGAACAGATAGCTCTCTTCGTGCGAATCGGTTATCGTTTATCTCCGATGCCGAGCTGCCAAGACGGCCGCCCGAGGCACACCTGCGACTGGGGCCCACCCCGCCCTTCCCCGGCCTCTCCTCCCCAGCTTCTCCTCCCCGTGGCCGGTCTCCCCTCCCCCCGCCCCCGGGAGGGAGGCGGCAGAGGGGCCCGCGGCGCGGCGGCGGCGGCGGCGGCGGCGGCGGCGGCAGCGGTCAGTCGGCGTTTGACAGCGGCCGTGGAGGCGGGAAGGGGAGAGCCGTGGAGTGTGTGCGTAGAGTGCGTGGCGAGTGGCGGTGGTGGCCGTGGGGCTGGATTCATACACGTAGCGGTGAGTACTGAGTCACGGGAAAGGTGGTGGTTTTTGTAACTTTTGGAGGAAACTGAGGATGTCTTATTTTACATTTGATGTTACGGCTATTGCTTTCTGTCACATGACTAGTTTTTTCTGCTCGAAACATGATATTTTTTGCCAGGCGTTTATCATAGCATCAAACACATGTCAAACACGAATAAACACTTGTAAACTTGAATATCCACCATCGCTTTTTACTGACATCTTACAAAAAAAATTGTCACAGCCTGAGACTATGTTCCCTCAACACTGAAAGCACACCACAGATAGTGCATTTGAAGCACGCTCTGTGCACATCCGAGGTCACTAATCTCACACTATCGCTCTGTGAAGCTTAATAACCGGTTTCTGTGTCGTGTCTGCACTGTGGGCTGGGCCGTAGAGCAGGGCTCCGGGAGCCTTCCCCGCGCTGCGCAGACCGGTTCCACCGATACGGTGCACGAAGGACATGCTTTTCATGTATACAGGGACTGCCAGCGCGCACCTCACGGGACGCAGACCGTGAATGTGTTTGGATTCTCAGCAAATGTTTAGAATGTCTTTTGAAGGCGATTGCCAGTGTAAACGGATGATATATGAGAGATGGAAAGGAAGTGCCGTCAGTCATCCGCTCTGGGCAGATCACGTCTCACGAGATCAATATCTCATCGATGACTTTGTGGAAAAGAAGCATTTTGGTATGAAATGTTTAATGCGTATTTACTTTAAATGTACATACTCGTAATCCTGTCTTTCCTGCAGTCCACACGTTACAAACTTTACCTTATAACGGAAGAAGGAAGAGAGGAAGGAGAGAAGGATAATCATCAATATGATACTAATAATATATAACATAATATATAACTAATGATAGTAACAATAGATGGTGATGAAAGTGCAGTTTAATAATTAACAATTGAACCGCGAAATCGACTCGCATAAGGGTTCAAACCGTTTCTGACACTAACAAGCGTACCTCCTTTAATCTTTAGCATTTATTAACATTTAGTCTTTAGCAAATTTTTTAACATGGCAGTGTAAATGGGATCTATTCACTTATGCAATAGCCAGCAGACTACAATAAGCCACACTTGCCACATCATATTGTCGGCAAACTGGCGTTTCAGTGACGAAATGCCCCAGCTTGTCGGTTAAAAGGACACGCATATCTCCTCATGGTGTCTCCACCTGAGGGGCTCGCTAGTGGAGAGGTGACCCTGGAGCCTGCCAGGAGGAATCCTCATCCCGTCACCTGCTCTTACTTATCCAGAAAGGTCTCGAGGCACTTCGCCTTGCTGGTTTAGCATATACGTATGGAGGCAGGGATCTTCAAGTGGACTTGGGGTTTAGATGAGTAATGTGTGCACAATAAGGCTTTGTCGCGCTAAGCTCAATGTCGTGAGTTCATGTGGAATGTTTCGGAGGAAAGGTGCTTTTGCTGCACTACAAAAGCTGTTTTTATGCAGCTTATGCTTTGTCCTGCAGCCTGCTACGTCATGGCACTGCGCACATCGAACAATGTGCACCGTTTTATGCTCTGCAGCGCAGCTAGAGAGCTCAGCTGCAGCCTGCATTTGGTTCCCTCTGTCCACAGTTTGAGAATTAGAATCCACCTCGGCTACCGTCAGGGTGGATGAGAAAATCTAACGTGAATTTTTTTTTTTTAAACTGACGCTACGGTTTTTCAGTTTTCGATAAATTATTCACCAAATTGTTTCATTAAAGTGCGATCCAAAAAATTCGCTAATCAGAGGAATGGCTTTTGAGGCTGTCGTGTTGCAAAAGAATCTCCAGTACCTACCTAAATAAAGTTCTTATATAATTAATCAATCACCTAGAAACAAAGTGCATTAAGACCGACATAGTCTCGCTATTGACCTTATATAGTTATTTCATAATTAATTAAGGAAAATAACAGTTTTTATTATAAACATAATTTTATATAATAGCATAGATTGTTCTGAAGCTTAGCGAGGTAGCCCCAATCTTACAGCTAGGTGAAGCCATCAAACATACCTAGCTAGAAGCCCCTTTTTGCTGCAACACTGACCAATGGTCTTTGACCAACGAGCCACACTTGCAATCGACCACATGCACCACAAGTCTGTCCACAACCACTCATGAATAAACGATGGATGGGCGAAGCCGCGACTTAAGCCGCATGCACCTGTAAATGAAAGAGCGCGGGCCTTGCACATGCACCTTATATAGCCATTTCCTTACTCAAAAACTCGCAAGCCTTGAGGCCTAATGTAAAACAAAGTATTCATGTTTCGAAGCTTCCCTGGTCAATCTTCCATGACTTGCACAATAGGTGAACGACCACATTATCAGATTCTCCCTTAGCTATCACGTCTGGCACATGTGCGGCGTGCATGCCTGGCCCGATATGCAGCGTGGCATCGCTCTCCCATCGCACCCGCATGTGCAGCGTCGGAGCGCTATTTTTAGACTGTTCCGAGTACAGTCACTGATGCAACATGGCAGTTGGCAGTGCCACATTGCGAGAGATTGATAGTGTACGCTACCTCTCTCCTGCATTTTCGGCAGAGTGGCGGACTGCAATTCTGTTGTTTTGCTGCTGTGTTGTGATGTTAAAGCATGATTTGTGTTTGTGTTTTGATTTCGAGTTTCTTGTTTCGTTGTGAGCATGGTTGCGTTGATTAGTGATTGATGGTAATTGATTGAAAT